CGCAAGAGAAATGAATCGAAATTCACTGTAAAAATTCCCAGATGTTACAATGTGTTTTCTCCTTTATCTCAAACTCAAATGCTAATTCGTCAAAGTTCAGGATCCATATATATAGTATTTGATACTTACTTGGATCTGTAGTGGTAATGGCAGCCACTCCATTAAAGTTGCACGACTCAGGATCCTTGCCATTTTGATGGAAGTACGTGTCAAAAGCGTAAGTTGCATGTGCAATCACATTGTCCGGTTCGTAACATGACTTTCCCTGCAGCAATGGCGAGCAATCCACCTTGCCAGGTCCACAAGCCCAATCCAGTGCAGCCTGCAGCATCTTCGGATCAGCACCATCCTTTGCCGTACAATAGGTTTGGTTAGTAGTATCATTTGCCAGCACTGATCCTGATCCTGTCAAATGTAATATATAAACAGGGTCCCCATTTGCATCAAACAATCCCCAATTCTTCTCCGAGAGTGGTCCAGGCTTCGTGTCCTCATTGTAAAGCTCGTAAATATAGGTACTAACAGCAATTCCTGGACGTTTTGGGGTTCCAGTATTGTTCAAGATGTGCCTGATCAAATTACTATTGTAAGTGTTGGCATTTTCAATAGTTGCATCAGGCTCATTCGAGTCGCCTTTTGATGGCCAGCCGGATTCAGTCACTAAAACAGGCACATTAGTGAAATTCAAAAAGGCCATAGCAAAATAAGCAGCATCAACCATGGCATCAAAGACGTTCGAGTAGTGGACAAGTGTATTGGAATCAACAGCTTCTTTGTTCGGAGGGAGAGGCTTGAAGAGTGCATAGTCTAATGGAATTACACCATTTGATTGCATGTAATCATAGTAAGGATATATATTGAGCATGAGATACGAATCCGTAGACTGCAAGAAATTAAGCATGGGAACCAAAACTGAATTCCATGAGCGGTTAAAAAATGCCTGGGAAGGCGGGAAGGAGTCAAGGATTAGAGAAGTAGAAAGGGGTGTAGAAACTTTGATTTGGCGGTCTAAATTGGATGCAACAAGGGCTGAGTGAATGTACTTGAGGGCATTAACAAGAACAGGTGCAGCATTCGGAAGAGTGTTTAGAACTTCCGAGCCTACAGCAATAGCTGTTATATTGGTGGCAGGGTAATATGCTACAATATTGCGAGACACCCAATTGGCTGCCGTGGAATTTGATTGACCAATGCCAAGAATCTGTTCGTTCGGGACAGATACCATGACTTGAATGCCAGTGTTTGCGAGAGCAGTCAGCATACCACGGTCAGCATCATATAGCCTGACATGTCTGATTTGCTGAGCTTTAAGAAGAGCTACTACCTGAGTTGGATGTGGCATGTCAGACAGGTCCGTTCCTATATTGACACCAACAAAAGCATCTGCAAGAACTAAGCACAAGATCAGAATGTAGATTTTGGGTCCATCATCGAGGAAATTAACAATGCCAAAGGGGAAAGAGGGAGAACATGATTTACGAACAAATGCAATAGTAAATTCTCAATACTCATAATAAAAACACGATGCTTGAGTAAACCAGAAGATCAGAATTTCTTTTCGTTTTATAATTTCTTTGTCCAATTCAGAACATGGATTAAACAATTGTACTTTAGACAATTGCAGTCGAGTTCTCAATGAGGACAATTAATGTCTTAGATAGTCAAAGTAGGGATTTTCAACTCTAAATACTCAACGAACAAAGAATCATTCCACCATTTGTTGAGTGACTATTTCAGCTCAAGAAGGAATTTTTCATCTGACCCTTTTTCCGTGTGAGGATATACTATAAGGAATTTTGAACTCTTCAGCAACTGATCTTTTAGTTCATGTGCCTACTTAGCACAGTATCATGGAGTTTTTTAGCACTCTTTCCCAGTTTACCTCAAGAATTTTAAGCATCTTCAGAATTACATTGAAAAAGATAAAACTCTAAAGCAATGAGGAAAAGAAATAGTATTTCAATCTGAATTCTACGAACAATGCATCAAGTACTAGGCAAGAGCAGTATGGATAATATGTGCATTTTATAAGGACTACTTGGCGTCAACCTAAGTCACCATGACTTATACTCCACAATCATTCATTAAATAAACTACAAGTTACCTCAAAATTTCACTGCATATAATAATTGATAATGGGTGAAAGTAATGGACAAAGTGCAATTCATCGAGGTGTTAACAAGTACATTAGTCTAGAAGGAACAAAATACTAGTATAAAAAAAGGAAAAAGCAGCATGGTGCAGTATGTTCCCAACTTCTTATGTCTCCACTAGTTCGTAATCTGACACAGAACTGCCTAGATTATCTAAAACATTTGACCATTTACACTATCAAGGCACTATTCCTTGAAACCTCAGGTTTTGTTTATATAAGTTTTAATGCTTAAAAATTTATGTGAAGTCTTGAGCAGAGATATTCACCAAAGTCTCCTTCTTTGATGAAAGCAGGAATATAATATAATATATATATATATAATTGCAAGGCAAACAACATTCTGGCAAGTGCATTTAAAACCTCCCCAACTCCAATTTTATCCTTTATTTTGATATTTAATATCTGACCTACCAAAAATTACAGCCATGTGATTTATATGTGAAGCCAAACAAGAAATACAGCCATTCAGATAGAGAGAGAGAAATAGCCTTTCTTTTTTACTTTAAATCTTCTAAACAGTCATGATCTAGCCACAAACATCACCTACTTCCTGAGTAAATCCTCAAGAATATCATATAAATGCACACAGAGAGTAAAATAATGCAATATTGTGAACCCATGGCTCCCAAAAAAAACACACGAAGACAATGCAAACCCAGTACAAAATCAGGTGGTAAACAAAAAAAAATTAAGACTTCATCAGCAGATTTTCCTTTCCACAAAAAATCAAAAGAAGCAAATGGGTGAAAGAAATAAATATTTTTTTTTTTTCAAAAGAAAAAATAACTTGAATAAAAAGAAGAAGAAGAAACCTCACCTTCATCAGCTCTGACTGAAGAAGCTGCTAAAAGCAGCAGAAGAATGAGTAGAGCCATAGATTCAACCAGCTTCAGAAAATCAAAAGAAACCCACAAGGGAATCTGAAGAAAGAAGAAAAACCCAGTAAAGAAGAACTCAGAGAGAGAGAGAGAGAGAGAGACAGTGAAATGAATCTGAAAATGGTGATAAGAGTCAAGTAAAGAATGAATTGTGGGGTAAAGTCTCGAGAAAAATTAAGCCAGAGAGAGAGAGACTGTATAGTTCAGTGGCTTATGAGAGTGGAAATGGTATTTAGCTCTAAGCAGACAAAAGACAGAGAAAAAGGACGTGGGGTAAAGTTGAATCACAGATCACAATTCGAGATTGTCAGAAAATGGACGGCTGAGATATTATCATCTGCAAATTTTTGTCCGATAGAAATCTGGAAAAAGCAAACAAACAGTGTACGAGAGAAAGAGTTTCTGTTAAACAAAACCCAACGCATTTTTCTTTCTTTTCTTGTTGGATTAGCCGTTGGAAGTCCTTTCTTCTTGTTTTTATTCCTCTGTAAAAACACCATCCATGGCCAAAGGTGATAGAAGCAACGGGTGATAATCCTGGTTTAAAAGTGAGAAAGTACGATTTCAACCACTACGGTGAAAATCCCATAACTTGATTTATGAAGT